AGAGTGTTTTATTCGTGTAAGGGGCAGGTCCAAGGTCTCCGTCGTAATTTCCGAACTGATGACGTCACATACACTTTTTACCAGACGGGACAACACACGTGTATACAGACAGTTAATAGCACTCGTTGTAGTGTATATATAAACACACCATATATATATATATATATATACATGACACCCTGGTAAGACACTAGCCGCTTCCTAACGACTCGGCTAGGGTAGGAAGCGTCTAATATCTTTCCAGGGTGTCATATATATAATATATATACCCGGGTTACATATTTTTTACACTATAACACACTCGTGCCAAAACAAGCTATCTGCATGAAAAACTTTTGACTGGTTTGAATAATACTGTCTACCACTGATAATCGCATGCTTATAAATATATCTGTTGCTTATCATTTTTTATTATCACTGTTTAAACAAGTTATAGATCTTCACACATAAGTTCTAATTAAAAAAAAAAAAAAATATGTATTAATTAAAAATATTCCCGTGTTTTGAAAGATTTGTTTAGCTAACATTTTATTTCAAAAACAGCTAGTTTGGCCCATTGCAATATTAATGAACTCTAGAAGGATGGTAATACAAAAATAGTGCAGTATAACTCGTTTGTTGAATACTGCAACAATTACAAAAGTTGCAGTCTCATGTGTGCGTGTCCGACATCTACCGCTGTATTCTAAAGATCATTTTTCAAAACCTTATGCATACAACTGTAATTTTAAAATGAGGCCTTTTCAGAATATTCTTATTTAATATATATATATATATATAATACATATATTTAAAGTTCTGCGTTTAGTTGGATCTAAGCGTATCAGGCAACTGACAACCATGCCCTTGATTAGTAGTGGGGGAAAGTACATTTATTTATTTACTAATTTAATCATACTATCACAAAAGTAGTATTTTCATCGTTTATACGTGTACATGTACTAAATCCTTCCTAATTGTTTGTTTTTTTTGCACGAGAATATGTATGGTGAACCGATTGTAGTAAATGACATAATTATGAAAAAAACAACCTATTATAAATAATTTTAAACTAGTATATGTACATGTATGGCATATATTCAAATTATGTTTACTTTCATTTTGGTCAATATTATTGTTATGATGATATTTGTATTCAATAACTAATTCTGTGATTTAAAACTTATACAATTTAGAAAATGAAATGGTAAAAATACCTCAAGGTACAATATAACATTCTAGATACAGAGTTGCAAGCCTCATAACCTATTAATCGATCTAACAGAATGGAAATTGATTTCTTTTTGCTAAAACGCTTGTAAATTAGAACTTTGATTGCAGGCTGTCACTGCTTTACATTATATCCATAGTTTGCATTTAAGTCGACGTGATATTAATTTAATTATTGAGTAGAAAGAAAAAAAAATCATCAGAAAGTACATGGAAGTCCTGTTTCACTTTACTCCCTTTTTCGTGTACACATATAATGTATCTTATGACACAGGTCTCAAAATATCTTTGAAATTAATTGCATTATATAATTGATGATGTCTATTTTAATACATGAGTTAATCTGAGTATTTTGATTTGTATGCTAGCAAGATGTCACACAATTCTAGCACTCTATTGTGTTAAATCGATGCTGCTTATGATATAAAAAATACCAATGGAAAACTGAAATATTCATTCTCAAAACAAATCCAAACGACTTTTATTCTAAGACGAGTACTTAGAGATGATTTAAACATTTGGAGACAACAATTGTATACCGTCTTTCGCATAAGCATGAACAAATGTGATGATATTGTGAGGCAGCGTGTTCATATAATCGACATCACATACATTATCATCATATAAATCTGATCTAATCATATACGATGAGGAAATACTTATTTTTCATGTTTCAAATGGCAGGTTGTCTAGTAGTAGAGAAATGTACGAGGCTGTCGAACGATATTTTATCTAAGAAAAACGACACAGGACTGATTAAACAAGATGCACAGTCTGCACACTCTTTCATTAAGAGACCAGTATCATCAGGGCTATCACAACTACTTAAATTGTGTCCAGGTGTAGACGAAGCCATCTTGATACAAGTAAGTCGCTTAATGACTTTCGATCGTTTCCCACAAATCATAAATTTGTTTTATTATCTGTTAAATTTGTTGCAAATCATGGTTTGTACAAACTATTTAAACATCACTGTACTAGTGCTTGAATCAATTTTTGATCTTTTGATAATATTTATCAATTTATATTTAACAGCAACGGTGGAAGAATAGTTTTTCGATATTTATGTATCAATTGATTATAAAGAACATTGTTTAATTATATTGCAAGAATAACAAAAGAAGTGTTGAACATAAAACTACTTAAAATTTGTAATATTTAATACACATTTTAGACTGTGCTACATGAGTCCACATAGAAGATGATATATGTAATGCGCTAGATATACACGTGTTATATTGTAATATTCGGCTACCCTAGGAACTATAAAAGTTCGTCCGCAATGAAAGGAAATTACAAGATTGGATATGGTTATAAAAGTTTTGGTCTACGCATATAGTGTATCTGCTAACAATGAATACTTTAACGTTAATCTATAGGCTATCTATGAACAAAAAACGTACTTATAATAGTTTTTCATTGCGTATCTTATTCATCCATACAGAATGAGGACAATGAGTACCAACTATGTAGAGAAAACACGTGTTCAGGCACTGGTAAACGAAGAAAACTGTATACCTTCGTACAATTCAAGGCATGTTCAAAGGACAAATCATCAAACAATATCAAAGGTTGTATCTTTATCAAGTGTTTATATTACTGAATACCATTGATATTTTATGTATCGGTATTTACCTTAAATTAATCTTATATCTTTACACGTACTTTTAAGAGATTTTCAAAAATGACTGAAATGTTTTTTTGCAGATCCAAATATTCGGTTATTTCGTCTACGATGCAAAATGGAATGCTTTCCGCTTTTACAGCGAAACTTGAAATTCGCCTTGGACATTGAAAAACAGTTTCGATATATGTTTGGTAACGGTGATGGGAACAATGTTCCGAAATCCCCAAGAATCCTCGACCAACAAGAACTGACGCTTTACATAGCTACGGACAGTGATGTGGATGATATTTCACAAGAGGTGTCTGCAATTATGGGGAACCATGCGTACAGCGAAAAAAAGGAAGTTACAGGTAATAATGTTAAAAACAAATATTCTTTAACACATCGGACACACAAACCTCCAATGTATATTATGTTTCTATTAACATAGTTTCTATTTTCGTAAATAACAGTGGATTTCAAATGCTGAGAAATTTGAGTAAATAATAATGTATCCACCGTTATTTGTCATATACACTTCTGTCATGCATAAACCGTGCTGATATGACCGATCACACAGCAGCACGCTGAAGATAGTTTCACTTTATCTGATCCCTTAACTTCAGTACAATTGCTGAAGCAACATTTGTTAATTTAATCCCTTCAGTAAAAAACATGGTCATGGATTTTTTGCACAATTTGAACATGTAGAAACAAAACCCTGTTTTTACTGCATTTTATTGAAATAGTCCAAACTTCCAAACCATACAAAAGTCGATCAAAGATATGCCACTTCTATTTGAAAATATAAATCATACTAAATGCAAACATAATCTATATTCCACACTGGTTGTAGTTCCTGCTGAACAGTGTTACATGAGAAACAAACAGTAAAACGTGTTCTTGCAGGTAGGTTATATAACTAATATATATAATTAAATAATCTTACAGAGAAATGTTTCAAAAAGGACTGCAAAAGTGTTACACCTGATCAGGATTGTCCTTGTCTGATTCTCTTTCTGGACAAAGATGAGACGAATATTACTGTAAGTATTCTGCCCCTAAACAAAATCGTAAATCAATTTTATGTGTTTATTTCCTGGATCTATGATAAAACATTTATATAACGAATACAGCTGCCAGATGTGTATGTAATCTATAGCGCAACATCACTTGAAAACATGAAAACCGCTCATAGCAGTATAAACCATTTAAGGTGAATAGTACAAACCAATTTAACCATACCATTACCATTGTCACGGTCGTAAACTATTTTTAACAAAAAGAAAGTGATCCATTAAAATCGCATGTTGCGATAAATCTAACAAAATTATGTTTTTTCGAAGATTGAAAACAAACACTACGTTACTATCCAAGATTGATAAAGCAACAGCATATACATGAGTGTCTAATTGATGAACTTCGAAGCTAATAAACAACTTGGCTGTTATATAGAATTAAGAGATACTCCAAGGAAGCCTGTGAATGCAACTCTTCTCCTTGACTATAACTGATACAGTAGTATTCTTCATCTCATTTCAATACTCCAGTCTAAGTAGTGTTCTTGAAGATGGGTTATATAACTAATAGATATAATGTTATACTCTTACAGAGAAATGTTTCAAAAAAGACTGCAAAAGTGTGACACATGATCAGGATTGTCCTTGTTTGATTCTCTTTCTGGACAAAGATGAGACAAACATTACTGTAAACAACAACGTACACATAAGGATCCGAACCCACTATCTTTCTGTCAAAACATAACGTAAACGCATTTTCCTCAATCCCAAAACAGTCAAACAAACCAAATGAAACAGTTATTTTAATATATCTTACTTTTATACATCGTAAATTAACTTACCATTTGAATTTCCTGGACAGGTACTTGAATCATCGAATGTGTTGTATGTTCCGAGTCCATCTCTTGATGTCGAGATAATCGGACAAAGTCAATCAGTACGAGTTTTCAGAGAAGAAACAGTAAGTCCATGGAGCATTCGACGAAAACTTACCCATATACTTGGCGCAGACCTGTTTTCCTATGCAGAAGAAGTGCAGCAACGACTTGGTGAATATGAGGAAACAATCAAGTCTCCAAACCTTGACCAAATAACCATGCTGCGGAATACCAAGGAAGCTGTGACAGTATTGCTCACCAGAAGAGTACTTCCAGACTGTGAAACATCCGCAACTGGTGGCTCTACAAAATTTGAAATTCCAGAGGATATAGATTCAGCATTGAATAGGTCAGAGTTTTATTTTCAATACGTATATCGTACTGCGATATATGTTTCGGTCATAATTTATTTCCTAAAGTTTTCACGAATTTTAAAATTTACGATTATTACAACGACACGAAATGTGTTGCCCTTTACATTAAACCATCGCTGCCGAAAAGAAAAGTGCAGATTTACCAACCACAACGGTCTAATGTGAAATAATATTAATATTTAACAAATGCCAAGCCGTTACATAGTTACATAGGGATTATATGTCAATAGTTTATTTCATGCTTTATTTATATGTCTGCATATTCTTTCTGCTACATTTTCAGAATGAAAAACTGCGGCGTTATAGCATTTGGATTGTTTGTGGACGGCTTTGTAGTCTTTATAGACGAAGAATGCAGTGACCAAGTACACACAGAGACTACCGAATAGATAATAAACCTTTGCAGCAATCGGCCCGACTTCAAAATACTTTCTAAAGTGATAAAGGTTTCACAAGACTTTTTGACAGACACGGGTTTAGAGCAAGGCCATAAACTCATAAATGGATCCGAATGGGGCTCTATAGGAATGGTTACAAGAGCAACTAAAAAGCCGATCGCCACGGAGACAACCAAAGAAGCAGGTGGACCGACACATTCAGAACAGGAAACTCCTAAACACATCGTCGTGGCTATTACTGCAGGTCATCTTTTCAAAGAAAATGATGACGCATTTTTCGTCAGAAATGACAAAAATGAGAAATTCGGGAAATGCCTTGCAAAACTACATCGCAAAGGACACATTTCAACAAAGAAATATGACATCGCCGTAATAGAACTCGACGAGAACATGAAAACAAGCGAAGATTGCGATGCTAAATTCAGAAACGAAAATGGTGAATCATGTGACGGTGTTTTGTTCAAAGGCACTCTTGCATCTGGTACTGTTATGTACAAAAAAGGTGCTGCAACCGGAATGAGTGCAGGAGTTGTGGTCAGTCCAGATTTTCGACTAGTTGGACATGACGATACGCAGAAGGGTTATCTGATCAAAGGGCGCGATGATCGTGATTTCGCTAATCTCGGAGATAGCGGTTCTATTGTATTTACGTTAGACACTAATGACGAGGAAAATAGAACCGTCAATCTAGTATCGATTGTTACAAAAACGTTGTCAAAGGATTTGGCCAGAATACCTGAGATTCCCGGAACTCTCGCCTACATCGTCCGCCTTGACAGGTGTCTTGAACAACTGGAAAAGCTCACTGGTGTAGCCGTGCATATGCCTAAAAAGTAGTCTTTGTTACTATCCCAAACGTACAAATGTGTATATAAATGTATATGTATATATATATTAACACTTGTGATTTGGTCATATTTATTTAGTATGTTTTCTGTGATAAACCATACAGTATTTTGGATCCCTATCGTGATTTCGCTAATCTCGGAGATAGCGGATCTATTGTATTTACGTTAGACACCAATGACGAGGAAAATAGAACCGTCAATCTAGTATCGATTGTAACAAAAACGTTGTCAAAGGATTTGGCCAGAATACCTGAGATTCCCGGAACTCTCGCCTACACCGTCCGCCTTGACAGGTGTCTTGAACAACTGGAAAAGCTCATTGGTGTAGCCGTGCATATGCCTAAAAAGTAGTCTTTGTTACTACCGCAAACGTACAAATGTGTATACAAATGTATATGTATATGTATATATATATTAACACTTGTGATTTGGTCATATTTATTTAGTATGTTTTCTGTGATAAACCACAGAGTATTTTGGATCCCTATCGATGAGGTGGGAAACATTATTGTTGCGATATATTTCATTTGCTTTTCCACAAAGACTTTTTAAAATAATATAAGACAACTTGAAACAAGAATGTGATCAACATCATTTGATGCAAATCACTCATCGCAATAAAAAGAAAGAAACAAACCCATTGTATTGGAAAACGTGTTATATTGTTTAGATTTTACATACTTGAGTAAATAGTCTGAAAAAGTCATAGCCGGGCCATTATCCATAATAGGTTGGATAATATAACATAATGTTGCAATCAATGACACTAATAAGTTATTCTTTCGTACGTCAATTATAAAAGGACACAGATATTAGACAAATGGATATAAACTAAAACTCTTTATAAGATATCGTGATTTATAATTGGACATGTAACGTGTAATACCATACCGAGTATCATACTACTATATCAGTAAATGTCAACTTCTTATCATTTAATGATATGACGAGGTCACCAGACATTCGATATGGACTTTATCCTGGTTTTCTGGTTTACTACAGACACACCGGTTGTCCTGCCTATCCAGACCGCATGAGCTCCACTATCCGTCAAACTTCCCAAACCTGTATGATTGTGTATAAGAAGAAATGGACATGATAACATATTTGGTTATATACTCAGTGGTTTGTGACAAGAATATCCACTACACTAAACACTGTGTCAATCGGTATACCCAATGCATTTGGTGTATTGTCAAAAGTAATCAGCTAAGACAGATTTGAGAAAAAGTTTCCGGATAATAACGATATTTTGTTAATTATGTGTCTGTCCCTGTTTAAAAGGATATGACATATCAACTTCTCCTGAGAAGGGAACATATTTCGAAACAAATGGATTAATTTGAGAAAGCAAGTGTCACTATATGTTACTATGTCTCAGGATAATGTTGGTAAGGATATTCCATTTTTCACATCCGGGTAGGTACAGGAAGTTACACATTGATAGACTAAGAATCTGTATGTCGGTAAGGAGTGTTTTTTGTTCAGAAAGAATGTTCACGTATGGTATCTTATCAAGTTATTTTTGGAGAGGAAACAATCAAGTTTATAACTATAGTTTCACGCTTACAAATTGAGCAGATCTACCCACTCACAAAGGCTGCTTGGTTATTAAGGTTATAAATAGAATACATATGTTACGCATACAGATTATACACAATAAAAGCATGGTGTCGTGCCGTTGTTCAATATCACACATTTAAACAAGACATATACCGCTAACTTTGTGGGTATATTTGTTTCGTATGTTTCATGTGTACCGCTTGTATCTGTCCTTGTTAGTTCTTTACTCACAATTAAAATTGCTGTTTTAAATTTTGCTGCATTTGATATCAGTTCAATTTATACACACTTGTTAAACAACATTTAAGTTTTTTTCAGCGATTTCTGTGTCTGTAATATCATAAAGAGGTTTCAGATTTGTACGGCCATGATTTCTTTATTACATGTATATTTTACTTTAGCTAAGTAATCAATATATCATTTCATACTTTAAATTAAATATTTGATGACATGTTTCGATATTTAAATTCACATTGTTTGATTTAAACTTCTATAATCATGAAGATAAGTCCATGGATAATATGCAATGTAGTTAATATGTGTAATAAAAAATGTTGAGCCAGGTTCTCATGGCAAACACTCGTCATTTATATAATGACACTTATTGGACACAAACTGTGTTCTTTTTTCTACACAAACACGCAGATAGTGTTGAAATGTCACGTAAACAATTGTTTTCCTTAAATGCACACTATCTTGATGAAGAATTACATATGTTTATACATTGATGATCTACGCGACTGTATGTCGGCAATTTTTTTTTCTTTCTGAAATGGATTGTGTGGATGGTTCAAGTATAATATCTAGATAAGTGTTACCTTCGAAGGTTACAACTTTTTTATATAGTGACTACCCGAGCACAAAAGCTGTTTTGACGTTTACGTTATAAATAGAATAATGTGTCACGCCTACAGATTATACACAATAAGGAGGTGTGGCTTACTTAGACAGAGGAACCTTTAACTTGTCATGTTCCGTTAAGTACACAGGGACACTGAGTTATCCCCATACGTTTAACAAATACCACTCATATCAAATTAGTGTATTCATTACACAAAATATAAATCAAGTAACGTTTGAAATGTTGATGGATTCAATTTCTTTTCCATGTATTGTTTAAGTATATATGGATATATAACTAACTACTTCTGTATTTTGAAAACCAGATTTCTGACTTTTTATAATTCACCCAACCCAAGCGAAAATTTTCATTATATACAGAAAGTTATCATCAGTTTTATAATCATCCATTATGTTTGAGAACGGAATCTATCATTCACATTTTTGACACAGTGTTAATAAAATGATGGTAACAGGCAAATGAATTAATTGGACGAAAATATTTTATCAAACCCCGACCTTGTATCCGAGTTTGTACAACGATCACACAACATCTCGTCACTATTACACAGAATAATGCAATAGCTGTACATGTACATAATGTACCACCGGCACTTATGCAGTAGACGATTAGAACTTTAGCATCCAGCTTTTCAGCTGAAATTATTCCGAATCGAACCGCACCGCTTGTGGTTTCCAGAGCAAAAGATGAAATACGAATTGTCTACTGTGTAATGATGAAGAGTTCTGACTGTATGTTAATTTATAATTAACAATGGAATGAACGTCATCAGCATTTTGTACATGTAATCATATAATAACACAGAATGAGAATGTTCAACAACTTCAGCGTAAACATGTAGGGTACATTGTTTCCTGTCCGGTTAAAATTAACATTTACCTTCGTCCTCGTTTGGTATATATATTTGTGGCAAACATTTGATAAGCCTCCTCTAAACGCTTTCGTTCCTCTTCTTTTCTGTTTTTGAAATTACACCCATGACTCTATCATGTAATTTTAGTTAGATTTTGAATTGGATTTAGTAATGAAAATAGATTATTTAGTATGAGTTTGTATACCTGTATAATAATGGAAGACCTCGATTCCGAATATAATTTCAGGAATGGCGCTTGAAGTGAATCAATACCAATGTGTTCAGCTTAACTGTGTTGTAAACAAAATAATGGCATGCTTGTCAATAATGGTTCAAAGGACCCTGAATGTAAATGTGTTGTGATGTATATTTAAAAAACATAAATGTTCTCTTATTAATTTTAACAATGAAATTGTTGTATAATATATTTGACAGAAAAAAGTTTTATGAAGATATAATATGATTCCCTTTGAGCATGTGTATTGTAATAAGCAATCATTATAAAAACTTGCAAAAAAATAGAATACTAATGTGTGAACAAAAGATTTTGTTAATCAAAATCGATGAAATAAGGGAAATAATAGACTGACATGCAGATCGCTTAAAAAGTAGTGCTCATTAAAAAATACACAGATCGGTAGTAAAGAATAGAACGCTATTCTAATACAAACCAATTCGAATAAAACTGATAAAGATTACAAGCATAAAAGTAAATAATGATTGTAAAGCAATAAAAAAAGTTCAAACAGCGTTTAAACTGTATAATCCTGCACTCTTATTATTAACAAAATATATCTAATAAGCTTTGCTAAATAAATTATCTTAAATTGTTTTGCTGTTGTTTTTTTAGCACAAACGAAGGTGCATTTACACAAAGACAAATGTGGATAGAAGTATACTATACCTAGTGTACGTGAGTGTCACACGTTTATAATTCATTGTGATCGTCCTACCAAGCGGCTGGTCTTGATGTAGAATCCGTGCGGAAATGCCCTATTGTATTTAGTCGGACAAACGACCGAACGTAAATGGAGCTAACTGTGACAACTTATGTTTTAATAAAGTCCGCCCTGTATTCTATTTTAACATGTTTGGATTGTGTTTCAATTTCTATAACCTGAACATCGGGAATTAAAAACATTTGTTTTAGTTTTGTCTGTTTTTACGTTATTGATCTCGCCCATTCGTTCATAGGTTAGTTGATCATGCCATTTTCGTTTTTATTTCTGTTTGAGCATAATCTGTCTTTTCTGGTGAATTTACATCCCAGCAGAAGTTTATTTTACTGACAACAAATATTCTAATAAGCTTCATATCAATTTTAAATATATCTCATTTTATAATGTATGCTTCATTTACTTTAGCTTTGCAATTACAATATTTTTCACTATTTGTATTGCTATTGTAAGTACTTACGTTGTTTGTAATGGTTATTTCATCATAAAAGCGAAATGCAATGGTAAGAATAGATTTTCCTTCAATGCATTATTTGAGTTAATCCTGAAAAACAATTGGGAATATACAGACATTTTTTATTTAGCGATTAACATTCAAATGAGTCAAGATTATTCGTAAAATTATAAGTTTAACCTTATGGCTTGAGAGTTTAATCATAAATGTATCAAGTTAATTTCTAAATTTTGAGAGTTTGACATTCCAGTGAGACAAGTTTAGTCTTGAGTTTAGCGAGTTTAATGTTGCGTGTACCGAG